ACGTGAACGCGTATAGACAATAAAATAATTATCCGTGCCACGGATCCGAGACACACGGATGTCGTCTTGGATATAAAATCATAGACTTAATATATAATAGGTCTATGTATAAAATATGACAAATGTAAACCGGGCTTTATCTACGTTGTCGCGAGGTTCGTCGCCGTCCACGACATCGTTAAAAGGTTAACAAAATTATTCCAAAAATAATAATAATTCTAAAAATAGAATTGGATTTCGGGGAAACAAATAAATATAATTGAGTTCATGTTTATCAGTTCATCACTAATTTCTTGGTAAATTATATTATTTGACCGTCATGGTTTATTGGCCTGATAAATACAAATAATTAGGGCTCGGAAGTTATAGGAGTTAAAAAAGGCAAAATATGCATGCAAATATGCACAAAAAAATTGTAAAATATGCATGAAAATATGTTAAATATGCAAAATAAAATTTATTAAATATGCAAACAAATTTACTACGTATATACAAAAAAATTTTTTATGTTTGGCTTAATGTTTTGGCTTGTATTTTGTGTTTGATGGATTGTAATTTTTTCAGTCTAAAAATATATATAGAATACAATTTATTTGAAAAATTATATTAATTTTTTTTTCATTCATTAAACATATAGATTATTGTAACCGTCATACCTGTAAATGTATTGCATTGAATAACCAAAACTTTTTTGATATTTTCTATGTCAAACGAACGACGGTTGTCTGTAAGTACATACATTTTTGTAGCGCGAAAAACTTCTTTCAACATCCGATGAAGTTATGGGTGCGTATTTAAAGTGCGTCAATTCATTCCCAGTTAAGTCTTCTGGTAGTCCTTCCATTGACGTTGCTTCACCAGTTAAAATGATAGATATTTTTTTTAATTCATTAAAACCACAGTTTTTTCCAAAACATTTTTTAATTTTTCTTTGATTGTAGTGGCTGCCTCGTCAATAATGTGCTCTAACTTATTTTCGACGGATTTCACTATCGCTATTGACTCATGTAACGGGAGTTTTTGTTTTTCAAGTTGTGTTATTGTTGTCGGTAAAAAACCATAATTTGCATGAATGAAAGTTAAGTTCATTTCCACAGAACGGTCACTTACAATTATTTTAGCTTCTCTAATAGAAACCGCATCGCTCGAATCTAGAAGTGGTAAAACTTTGTATATTTCTTTAAAATATTGACAGTAGTATGAAGCTGCTTGTAGCCATGTTTCCCAACGTGTTAGTATGGGCTCCGACGGAAGTGGAATTCCAGGAGCTTCAGTTTTAAATAATATAGTACGAGACGGTGCTTTCAAAAACACTTGTTTACCCTCGATATTAATTTATCTACCTTTGGGAAATGACTACGTATTTCTTCTGCTATTCTATGCATTCCGTGAGCCAAACATGTGACATGTATCATTTTTGAATATAATGCTTTTATAGCTGTACAGGCTTTTTTCATATATGGAGCCGCATCACTTACAAATAAAAGTACGTCATCGTGCCGGATTCCATCTGGCCATAAAATAAACATTGACGCATCAAATAGCTTAGCTATTGTTGAAAAATTAACTTTATCAAGAACTTCGGATGTTAATAAAAATATGTCACCAGGTTCATCTACCAATAATGTTCCGACTATTACGTTCGCAATAAATCTACCTTCGATGCCAGTACTTTCATCGATAGATACCCAAATTTTATTCCCAACGACATGTTTTCTAATTTTATCGATTGTTTCTTCGTAACATTCATTTAAATACGTTTTTCTTAAAGTAGATTCACATGGAATTTCTTTAAGGGTATATTTTTCTAGGAATGACCGAAATTCAGTATTCATAATTTTATTAAGAGGAATATTAGCACACATCATCGACTTACATAAATCTCGGAATTCGGAAGAACTAGACAAAACAAATCATTCAACTATCTGCAAGCTATTTGAAAAGCTATGGACATTATATGGCCTGGTGATATAAAGTGTAATTATGTCTTGTTATTTTTATCTGATGCCGCTCCCTACATGGTGAAGGCAGCTACTGTTCTAAAAAATATTTATACAAGAATAATACATGTAACTTGTTGTGCTCATGGACTTCACAGAATCGCTGAAGAAATTCGTGGACTTCATTTCTATGAAGAAAATATTTCGAAAAGCTCCTTCTGATGTTGAAATGTTTAAATCTGAAGCACTTGGTATAAAACTACCACCTGAACTAGTTATTACCCGTTGGAACACTTGGATAGACACTGCAATTTATTATTGCGAACATTTTAGAACAATTCGTCACGTAGTAAGTTGTTTAGATGAAAAAAACGCAGACAGCATTAAAAAAGCAAAAACTGTGCATTGTAAAATCGGGTTTAGAAGCCGATTTGACTTGTATAAAAATTAATTTTGAAGTTCTTACTAAAGCCATTATAGAACAGCAAATAAAGAATGTTTCATTGTCTAGTTCACTTGCTGTGGTAGAAAATGTGAAACAGAAATTTTCTTTGTTAAAAGGAAATCGTGGAAAACCAGTTCTAACTAAACTGCAAAAAGTGTTTGAAAAAAATAATTACTTCAGGATTTTCACTTTTACTTCAGTATTCAATCTTCCACGAAATTTTTGAAAAACTCGTAAACCTGTTCCCTTACTTATATGATCGTCCGCTGTTGAATTAATTTCATCCCAAAAGATAATTTTATTAGCCATTCAAAGTTCTCGTTACACTCGTAAGTGCTATACAATAAAAAAATCGAAATGATAAACACAAAGGTAAACGGTAATCGAAATTAAAATAACATTTTTGTCACATCTGTACTGAAATTCGGTTTTTCAATCACGATTGAAGCATTGGAATGTCACATTTATCCGCCCAGCGGGCGGTATGATGGGAATCCCATAGTGGCGGGCGGTAAAGTGGAAATCCCAAAAAGTGTGGTTGGGAGGGAAAGTGGAAATCCCTATAACACAGTGTAGTATAGTGGAAATTTCCAAGAGCTTTGGCCGCGTATTCCCAGCACAACCAGAAACTTAAATGTATACCACGGTCCATACAAAACATAAACCTTCGGTTAAATCTTATACACATATCACAACCTCCTTGCACGACGCATAAACATTAAAACATATTTCGTTTTCACTGTTCCCACACAAGTGCGTTGGACGTTACGGATAAATTTGTTTTGCCCGATTTATATTATAATTCGAATTAGAAAATGAGATCATTCGCGTAAGTGTCACGTCGCCGTTCAAATAATCCCATTTCGTGTTAACCGGAGCACCCGACAATGGTGTTGGCGTACGATGTTCGAGAATTTTCGATCGGTGCGTTATCGTGGTACGATTATCATCAGTCCGTGGACGCCATTACTGCCGGGACTTTTTTCCGCTGAAACTTTCTCTGCGAACATCCGACTCATCGTGTTTCCCGTACTATCGGCCGTGTGTTTTTGTGGTTGCGGTGGAGTCGTTATCTCCGGGGACAACTTCGTGTGTGTGTGATGACTGTTTGAACTATAGTCGTGACCCGTGTCCGCGAAATTTTCTTTCGATTATCGTCATGCAGTGGCGGCGCCAGGGGTGGGCCAGGGTGGGCCCGGGCCCACCTTAAATAGTCTCGGGCCCCCCTGTGGCCCACCCCAAAAATTAAATTTAATCATATTAGAAGACTAAAAAATATCACATGAATAAATCTGATTTATTAAAATATAAAAATATTAAGTCATAATAGATGGCGTGAACAATATTTTGAATGGGTTGAAAACTATGCACTATGCTTTCAAGCCTCATAAATAACGTGTATTTTCCAGCAGCTGAATACGAAAATAATAAGTTATATTTATTAATTATTAAATATTAATCAATGTTATTAATAATTTTGTTGAAAATTCTATGAACTACGGGTTTAGATTATTAACCAACTATGATAAAGAAAATACAATGGAAAAGACTCTATTTTTAGATACTTTTGAAATAATATTGTATTGTCTAGTTGTAAGAGTCAGTAACAGCAGTGTTGCCATATTGGCCATTTTATGGCAATATATAGCCATTTCGATGGTCAGAATGCCATAGAAATTGGGATCTAGCCTTTGGCCTTTTAACTAGCTTTTTAGATTTTTTTGTTAATAATTTATAGCTATTTGTAGTTTTGTACAAAACCTGGTATTTTTATTACTGTTTATTAGAAAAAAAATCTATAAATAATTCTATTCAAAATTAATTGTAGGTATTAATATAATGTAAATATAGGCTACGATATTTACTTATATAAGACATACTATTGTTGATCATTTTATAATAGTACCCACATAGTGTAATGTATTTTCATAGACCAATCAACTTTGTATTGTATTGCACTGAATATTACTGGTGTAGACTATAGACTATAAATAGGTATTATAGGGTATAGTGTATGCTATAGACCAGCGTTTCCCAAAGTGTGTTCCGCGGAACCTTAGGGTTCCATGAGACAATGCTAAGGGTTTCGCCAGATGTATGTTACTATTGAGAAACTTATTTTATATTATATTTGGAAAAAATATTATTTTATATTATTTAAAAAAAATTGTGTTATAAACTAATTTGAATAAAGAGTAATCATTAACAATATTAACAGTATCATTAAAAACATTTTTTAAAGTATTGATTTTCCTTCTTTTTTTTTTCTTAAAAAATTAGAGTTGAAAAGGAATTAAAGACATTAGGGTTTCGTGAAACACAAACTATTTTTTAATGGTTTCGTGATTATAAAAGTTTGGGAACCGCTGCTATAGACTATAAATAGGTATTATATTTTAGTTGAAAATTATTATTATAAACACTTAATATTAAAATAGTTGTTAACAGCAATAATTATTATTCATTACAGTCTATAGTTTACTGACAACTGTTCTTACTGTTTAAAAATTCCTGTTGGTGCATACGTAGTAAACTAGAGACTTCTTTTGATTTTTTTTCCTTAAATCATACTGATCTACAGTTTTAATATTTATAATTGTAATATATTTTAAATTATGGCACCACAGTATGCACAAAAGTTCCGTGACGAATGGCTGAAAGATAAAAATTTTAAAGAATGGATTGTTGAACTGGAGAATGACAATACTAAAGTACGGTGCAGATTTTGTAAGTGTGATATTAGAACTAAAAAATATGATTTAAATCAACATTTAAAAACTAAAAAGCATTTAGAAACTTCAAAAAACTTTTCTGTATCGAGGGCTTTAACAAAATTCATTAAACCTATTACCACCAAGACTGCTCAAGTAGAAGGTGCAATGTGCTTATTCATAGCAGCACATAGCTCAATATTATCATGTGATAATTTAGGAGAATTATGTAAAAATTGTTTTAAATCATCTGAGGCAGCTAATTCGTTGAAACTTCATAGAACTAAATGCACTGGTATAATTTGCAATGCATTATCTCCCCATTTTCAAAATGAATTAAAAAATAAAATTAACAATGGACCATTTAGCATTTTAATTGATGAGTCAACCGATATAAGCGTGCTTAAGTTCTTAGGAATTACAATTATGTATTATGATACAGATATGAGACAGGTGAATTAAACTTATTTATCATTAGTAGAAATGGAGTTTTGCGATGCAGAAGCGTTGACTAATGCTGTAAAAACGATGCTACATAGTAAAGGTCTAGATATAAAAAATTTGTGTGGGATTGGTATTGATAATGCTTCAGTTATGGTAGGTATCAACAATGGTGTTTATGTAAAATTGAAAGAAGAAATACCATCATTGATACATATCCCATGTATATGCCATTCGCTTCAATTAGCAGTATCAGCTGCAGCAGCTGAAACCTTACCACGAAATACTGATTTTTTTAATTAGAGAGACATATAATTGGTTCTCACATTCTACATTGAGACAAGTACAATACAAACATTTGTTTAAAGCAATAAATGATGGCCATAATCCATTAAAGATAGTTAAGGCATGTGCTACTAGATGGTTATCAATAGAAACAGCAGTAAGTCGTATTTTAATGCAGTGGATTGAACTTAAAACTTTATTTGGTGTTGCCAAAAACAGTGAAAAATGTTATATGGCTGATAATCTTCATGCAATGTACTCTGATACTAACAACTTTGCTTATTTAAAATTTTTATATCCTATTTTGGAAGAAATCCAAAAAGTCAATAAATCTTTTGAGTCAAATACAGCTGATCCAAGCAAATTACTCACAGATTTAACTAATATAGTATGGTCAATTGCTAAACGGTTTATCAACCCACAATGTCGTCTCAATCCATTGACAGCAAATGTGGATAGTTATACTATGAAAAATGTTTATTTTGGTTATGAGTTTGAACATATATTACTATCAAGTGAATCCTCTGAAGAAAGTAAACAACAACTAAAACAAAGGTGTCTAAAGTTTTTACAAGTCCTATTAAAGCAGTTGCAATAACGGGTACCAAAGAACATTGATGTTTTGGAAAAAGTGAATTTAATTTCAATTAAAAATGCATTACAATGTATAAAAGATCTACTTACTCATTTAGCAGAATTACTTAAGTTAGATGGAAGTACAATAGATAAAATTAATGTACAGTGGGCTAATGTTGTCAGTGTAAAATGGATCGAGAAGTCTAATACTATTAGTTTTTGGGGTGAAGTCTTCAATTACACTGATGCAAGAGGTTTGAATCCATTTACTGAACTTTCTTCTCTTGCAATAAGACTGCTTGTACTACTTTGGTCCAATGCAGTGGTCGAACGGTTATTTAGTCAGATGAACATCGTAAAAACCAAACTCAGAAACAGAATGGACCTTAAGCTATTAGATAGTATCTTAACAGTAAGAGCAGGTCTAAAGAGAAGTAAAGTGTATTGTTCTGAATACCAGTTGCCTTCAGAAGTATTGAAACAAATAGGAATGTCGTTTTATTATGATAAAAATGTGAAAGATACTTGTTCAACTTCGAATGAAGGAACTATGGGAACTATAGAAGCAAATAATGAAGATAATAGTGCCGATGATGTTAGTTTACTACTAAACACACAATTTGATTTTTAATTTGAAGTATTATTTTGATTTGTACAATTAATGAATAATGTTGATGCTATTTATTTGTTTATATACAATGTTAACTGTTAAGACCATAAAGTTTTTTTATTTTTTAATTTGTTATTTAAATATTTAATAAAAACTAAAAAGGATTAAATTATAAAATGTAAAAACTGTGTTAAAAGTTACATTAATAATTAATAATTATTCTTTGGTAATAAATGATAATACAATCTGTGAACAATCACGATTAAAGATCGTTTTTACAATCTTCGTTCGTGGTGATAACTAATATAATATCAGAGAAATTAAATTATTGTCCCATGGCGGTATCTACTATCTATTATAATATTTTAATGAAAAAAAAATATTTAGCCTTTTATAGCCTTAACAGAATGTGGGTTTTGCTTTATTTGATTTGTATATTATGACAACACTGGAAACTACAGGTACCTATTTAGTAAGGGGCCCAGGTTTTATAATTTTTGAAAGGGCCTATCGGGATTTTCCCGCTATCCCAGTGGGCAGTCTTGTAAAGTATTCGAATACAAGTATTTGAATTCTTGTATTTAAGTACTTATTGAAGTATTTGAATACTTGTATTTGATATTCTAAATACAATTTTTTATGTATTTTTTAAGTATTTTGAATACTTTTTAATTGTATTTTTACCAAAATGTAAATACTTATATTAAATTACTATAAAGTCCGTTTTATTAATTGAAATTTATTATTTTTCAAAAAATAATTGACATCAATAAAAATAATATTGTTTTCATTGAAAACTAATTTTATGTTTTTGTATAGTAAAAGTAGGTAGTAACAATGTTATCACACTAAATACCACATAAAATTTTATATAGTTTCTGTATTAGAATTTTTTAAACTGAAAATCTATTAATTTTAAAATAGTTCCATATTAATAGTAAGTTAATACCACTTTTTATTTTATTTTTTTCATTTAAATTTAATCAATATTAGTTGTAATATATTTGAATGCAGAATGAAATATATAAACATGTATTTATCTCTAAATAGTCAAACATGTTATAGTAATTGTTAAAATCTATGGAAAGTAATAACATAATAGATACCTATACTGGTATACAATATATTAATATATATTATATAGTATAAAATTTAAAAAAATACTTGTATTTGTATTCAAATACTTAGTGAGTATTCATAAAATATATTTTTGTAATAGTATTTTAAAAATATTTTGAATACTTTTTTATTCGAATACTAGTATTAGCGTCTTAATACTTTTATAAAAGTATTTTTTTACAAGACTGTCGGTGGGCCAGTATGCGCCTGTCTGCAGCTATGTACGGCTCTGATTTAAATAACTTGATTCCGGGTAAAGTCATTGAAAACATGCCGAAGCCACAGTTTACGGTTGATACATCAGTAAAATTAAATTACAGCTAAAATAATACAACTTAAATTAAAGCTTATATATATATATATATACGAGTATGTGTATGTAAATAAATCACATTCTACAGTTGCGTACCTTTGTGGTTTTTCATTGAAATTATAGCGAATTAATCGATAGAAAAAGAGCAATGATAGAATATTGTAGTTTACGTACACATACCGTCGAAAGACATAAAGAAGCTATTAGGTGTTTTCGATTCTATTGGTGGTACAGAAGAGGAAAGGGATGTAAATGACCTAGATTTTTTTTACGCGTTTTATTTTAGCGTAACACACTTAATGGGACACCGAAAAGAAAGACACCAGTAAGTTCTATGTCGAATTTTTATTCGGTGTCGAATAAAAGCTAAAAAGCGTAATTCTTTTTTGCTAAATATCTCAGTATCTTCGATTTAACAGCTTGCAACCAAAATGGTGAATAAAAAGAGTGACAAATGTAAGAATTATAGCGGCTCGAGAGTTTTTAACAAAATCTTCACATTCTTTTTTTCCCGGGTGCTAACCGCAAAAGTCGTGATTATTTATTTTTTATTAAAGTGACGGTGAATTTAAAACGATATGATCGTCATTAAAAAAGTCGTCCTCAATACAGTCGAATTCCGTCGTACAATTTAAAAATTGTTATGAAAACGTTGTTTTTTCAACTTATACTCTCTCATATGTTCTTCGTCGAATATTTATAGAGTTTTTTTCTTTTATTTTTTTATTTTCCAGCTTTTATCTTTGTACTTAATACAATTATGTTCACATATCTTTCCGTTCATGTATACACAATGTATATATATCTACCCGCTTCTGCTCGAATTACTTCCTATACATGCGTAGTCGATTTTTTTTTATTTTTTTACGTAACATAAACTTTTTTGAAAATTATATCAAAGACAATAATAACGATCACCACCGCCGTAGAATAATATCGGTGCTGCATCGTTTTCATCACACTCTCATGATCTCCCTTGGTCTTTTTTATAATGTGGAACACATAGTGTGTTTCATATGTATACATTTATGACTTTGATAGTGTTTGCACACCGAATCCTAAAAGGCTATAAGAAACCGTCATCGATCATCGGTCGTAACACGTATTTATGGCTCCTCCGAATCCGTACACGCGTGGTGCACGTCGTAAGACATGTGGTACCGCCACCGTAAAACCATAAATAATTAAAATGATTGTTATAAATATTTGGACAGCAAATCGAGTGTTCAAATTTTATTCGCATGTACGTTGGTAACAACGGGGATGCTATTGCGTTTTTGTGCCGTGGAAATTGTTTATAGCGATTAATGATTATTGGGTCAGGATAAAAACATATTTGTTGAAGTTTTAATAAGTGCACCGAATGTTCAAACAGCGCATGTAACGATATCACAATTGCCGATGATATTGGAAACATCAAAATATGCGTATGACTTTTAACCGTCTGTAGCTATGTGTTGCAGTTCTATGAACATTTTACTTGATGATATAACACTCTCCGGAGTACAGTTCACTGAATGGCATATTTAATTTACAGCAATTTAAAGCAAATGTAGACCCACGAGTGGACAAAAGTACTTATTAATATGGCCGTGTGCTATTTTAAAAGTACAAATTTCTCTGCTTCAAACCTAGCAAGGGAGTAAGGCATTCGACTTTTACATAGTTCCTCCCTGTATAATATACATATTATCCGTACAGTGATCGAATTCTCAAAACTTCATATTTCAGTTCGTATTGAACAATTAAAGATCAACGAAAAGCTGAAGAATATATACAGCTTGCCGATAGTGTAAGTAAGTGTTATGAATCGACTAACCATATGTATATTGTGTATATAGAATTCTCATAAAAAAAAATTAAAACCGATTTTTCCGGATATAATTATTTTAAACGAACGGCTTTCGTTGAGTGGAGTACAATCGGGTGAAAATACATAATTTTAAAGTTATTACTAAATTCATCGTGTCATCACTTTTGAAAAAGATGTGTTTGAAATGCTTACACGTCCTATATAGAACGTACCATACACGTAAGCATCGGCGGACACTCGTTCGCGTGCATATTAATGTATTTTTTAAATTTACGACAACTCGTTTACGCACAAAATTGTGAACA